TATTCTATATTTCAGTGACTCCCAAATCTACATTTCTATCCCAGAATCTCTGTATCTTCAGACTACTATCTGGCTGCCTGCTGGACATCTTCAAGTAGAAGTCCTCGAGGCACTTAAAATTCAGCTAATTGAAAGCCAAAATCATCTTCTGACCCAGAATTGCTCTTCCTGCAGTGTTTACCTATGTTATGACCATACTGTATCCCTGGTTATTTAAGCCAGAAACCTGGGTGCCCTGCTTGAAGTTCCTCTTCTTCCTCTCCCCACATCTGTCTAATCAGTCACTAGAATGTTCCTTATTATACTTAGCAAAAAAGCCTTTGATTTGATCCCTGCTTACCCCTAAAGACATTCATTCCACTCTTGATTTTGCTCTCTGTATTGACAATAATAGCTTCTGAATTTCCAGAATGTTCAGCTCCCTTCCAGACTTAGACTTGCTTCCCCTTTCAGCATCCTATCATATGTTCTTTAGGAGCTATCTAGTATCCCTGTCATTAAAAAAACAAGTATCTAATAAATGATTAGCTCTGAGGTGTTAATTATAGGCTACATTTGTTCTTCTTAGAGTTATTTGCTTTTTAAAGAATTTCCTGGAGGGGATAGTGACCAGCCCAAAGGTAGTTGATGTTTTCAGTTGCTTATGTCATGCTGGTATAATGCTAGTTGAAAGGGATATTAGAAGTGAATGTGTAAATAATTGTGTTTTTTTAAGATTTTATTTATTTGAGAGAGACAGAGAGCACGAGCAGGGAGGAGAGGGAGAAGTGGGTTCCCCACTGATCAGGGAGCCCAGCAGGGGGCTTGATCCTAGAACCCTGGGATCATGACCTGAGCCTAAGGCAGAGGCTTAACCAACTGAGCCACCCAGGCACCCAATAATATTTTGTTAATGTACGGTTTTCAAATTTAATGGCATGTTTATAACAGCAGTTCTCAAACTTTTTGGTCTCAGGATTTCTTTATACTCATAAAAATTATCACAGACTCTGAAGAGCTTTTGTTTATGTGGTTGTAACTATCAATATTTATTAGAAGTTAAAATTGAGAAAGCATTAACATTTATTGTTTACAATATTAAACCTGTTACATGTTAACATATGTAACATTTAAAAAAACATTTTCCCCAAAGTAATAAGAGTGACATTGTTTTATATTTTTGCAAACCTTTCTCATGTTTGACTTAAGATAGCTGGATCCTTGTATCTGCTTCTGCATCAGTCTGTGACAGTATCACATATCATGTACCCTCTGGAAAACTTCATTACACTGCTGTGAGAAAATGAGAATGAAAAAGGCAAAAACTGTGATAGTATTCTTATGAAAATAGTTTTAATCCTGCAGACCGCTGCAAAGGGTTTGGGGACTTTCAAGGAGACCCAGACAATACTTTGAGAATCTCTTGGCTATATGCTCTTGTATTCTGATGTCTTTAAAGAGTGTATTTGCTTTTTCCCCCACTTCAAAACTAAAACTAACACGTGCTTGTTGTTAAAAAAAAAAAGTAATAATTATATGGAGAGTCATAACAAGGGAAATAGGGCCACCTTTAATTCCTTTCCTCTCCTTACCTATTCACTGTTAAGGTTTATGTGTGTGATTTTCCCAGATTTGAGTGTGTGTGTTTGTACTGTGTACACTTTGTAAGTGGAAGAGAAGAGTCAAGATAAAAGACTGAAACAAGATTGAGAACAGGTAGAACAGTGAACAGTAGAACCAGGAGTCTGAGAGCTCTGGGTTCTAACTCCACCTCTGCCCATCAGGCTTTGGGCAGACCTCTTCACTACCCTGGCTCAGACTCCTTCGTTCTCAGGTGAAGGGAGTCCACCGCAAGATGATTTTTTTCTTTCTTTCTTTCTTTCTTTCTTTCTTTCTTTCTTTCTTTCTTTCTTTCTTTCTTTCTTTCTTTCTTTCTTCTCTTTCTTCTCTTCTCTTCTTTCTTCTTTCTTCTTTCTTTTTTTCTTCTTCTTTCTTTCTTCTTTCTTCTTTCTTTCTTCTTTCCTTTCTTTCTTTCTGTCTCTCTTCTCTCTCTTTCTTTCTTTCTTTTGATTTTTTTAATTTATTTGACAGAGACACAGTGAGAGAGGGAACACAAGCAGGGGGAGTGGGAGAGGTAGAAGCAGGCTTCTTGCTGAGCAGGGAGCCCGATGCGGGGCTTCATCCCAGGACCCTGGGATCATGACCTGAGCTGAAGGCAGACGCTTAACGACTGAGCCACCCAGGCGCTCTTGCAAGATGATTTCTAAAGGCTTTTCTAGCTCCAGGTGCAAGTGCAGTGTAGCAATTAATTCGTTTCCCAAGACCTAATGTTTAAATGCCAGAGGGGGATGGTAGAAAGTTGTGACTAAAAATGTTTGTTTTTGGTGAGACACCAGAAGGTTGTTTCTCTGGAAATGGATTCTTTTAAATTGTAATTAATGTCAGCAGTAGAACTCCCACTCAGATGGTTAGAATTCTGTGGGACTCAAAATAATGGATTTATTTTTGTGTCTCTGTGGCACAAAAATATTGTACATTGTGGTTATCTTCTTGGTATTTTGTGCCTTCTAATTTTATATAAGTGAACAGACGGTCCTGGAGGAAAAAAAAACACTGAGTATTTATGAAAGAGGAATTTAATTCAAATTCTAAAAAGTCATGTGCTTATATAGCTTGGCATAAGACTCGCATATATAATAATATTTTCCTTCAGGTAACAGCTGCTTATGAAAAGGAAAGCAGTCATCTGTGTGTTTGCTTGGTGAGGAGACAAATATAGCAAGTTCCCAATGTACAGAACAGCTATGTTCCAAATTTATCTTTAGCATTTTGAATACATTTTTTCGTGGATATGAAGTTTATTTGTAGGTGCATACAGTCATACATTAATTAACAAGTTTAGGGCTTATGCTATGCCAGGCTGTGTGCTGAGTTTCCAGACTAGTACGCGAAAAAATATTTGACACATAAAATAGGTCCCATATTAGTACCTTTTTTTCTTTTTCAGTAATTTTTAGTACTATATTAGTAAATTCTCTTTAAAGTTTTAATTACGGGCGCCTGCGTGGCTCAGTCATTAAGCGTCTGCCTTCAGCTCAGGTCATGATCCCAGGGTCCTGGGATCGAGCCCCGCATCGGGCTCCCTGCTCCACGGGAAGTCTGCTTCTCCCTCTCCCACTCCCACTGCTTGTGTTCCCTTTCTCACTGTCTCTTTCTCTGTCAAAAAATAAATAAAATCTTAAAAAAAAAAAAAAGAAAAAAAAATAAAGTTTTAATTACAACAGTGGTTAAGAGTGTGGTCTCTGGAGCCAAGCTGCCTGTGTTCAAATACTAATTCTGCCACTTGCAAAGTGTAACTTTAGTAAAGTTACAAAATCTCTTAGTATCTTTCCTCATATGTAAAATGGAGAAAATACCAGTACTTACCTCATCAGGTTGTTGTGAGGACTAAATTTTTGGGTTTTTTTTTAATTGTGTAATTCACATAATATAAAATTAAACATTTTGAAGCGTATAGTTCAGGGACACCTGGCTGGCTCAGTCCGAATGAGTTTGAGCCCCATGTTGCGTGTAGACCTTACTAAAAAAACAGAAACAAGCAAACAAACCCACAAAACTTTATAAAGTGTACAGTTCAGCAGTACCTAGTACATTCATAATGTCTCATTCCAAAACATTTTGAGTGGATAAACAAAACATAGTATATATACACAATCAAATATCACTCAGCCATAAAAAGGGATGAAGCACTTATATACCCTCTAAGGTGGAGAAACCTTGAAAGCATTATGCTAAGTGAAAGAAGCCAGAAGCCACACACAAAAGGTCACATTTTGCACGATTGTTTTTATATGAAATTTCAGAATAAATACATCCATAGAGACAGCAGATTAGTGGTTGTTCAGGGCTGAGTGGTAACATTCCATCTGAGTTTTGAAGAATACTAATAGGACAATACAGTGTTCTCCCTTGTCAAGCAGGCTGACCTATTTAAATAGATAAGAGACCTGGCAAATGTTTCTTATCTATAAGGTTGACCTAATTTCCAGTTGTTATCATGATTATATGTAACTATTATTAGATTATTAGCCTAAAACTTGATCTTATGCCTGAGAATATACACCAGTGGGCCTCCATCTGGGTTGAGAACCATAAACCCACTGGAAGATTTCATTCCAAACTAGATGCTTGTGGTTTTTATCTGTCATAGGATTTTTTAAAAAGATATTTATTTATTTATTTATTTATTTATTTAAGAGAGTCGGGGAGCAGGCAGAGGGAGAGGGAGAAGCAGGCTCCCCACTGAGCAGGGACCTTCCCCCCACCCCTCAATGTGGGGTTCCATCCCAGGACCCTGGGATCATGACCTGAGCCAAAGGCAGATGCTTAACCAACTGAGCCACCTAGGCGCTCCTATCTGTCATAGGATTTTATGAATGGAAAGACTGGTGTTGGCTTCTCTCCCCGATATTTTTTGTCATTGTGTTACCCTGGATGAATTTATAGAATATTGAGCCCAGATTGTCCCTATTTTACTTAAAACACAAGCAAACAAACCTATTTTAAAGAACAATATGATTTTTACACTTCTTTTACTTTGTGGTAAATATATTAAGCAAAGAGAAAAGAAGTATTTATCTGTTTGATTACTGGATATTTTGGTTTGTGGGGTTATCAGAGAGAGCATCGGAGCAGCAACTGACCTATAAAAGGCTAAAAAATCCATTTATCTGCTATCTTTTACATGTGTCCTGGGTTGTAAACCCCTAAGTTTGTCCTCTCTAGGGACCCACTTCATTTTCTTTTTCAGTATGAGAAAAAGATTTCTTCTGGAAAATCAGATCCTTATGTTTAAGTATATAACTATAGAACTTGAGCAATAATAATCCCAATATTGTATATGTCTGTTCACTGAAAATCTGATTTGACCCCTTGTTAATAATGAACTTTTGTTCACTTAAAAGTTGTGGCTTTTTGTTTTTGTGAAACTGTAATTGCTAAAGGCTTTTCAAACTTTTCAGGGAAGCGTGACAGCAATGACAGTATTTTTTCCCTTGGATACAGCTCGACTCCGACTTCAAGGTGAGTACCTTTTGTAGGCATCATATTCTTTTCATTTGGTGTTAGGAAGCAAACATATTTTTCTCTTAAGTTCTAAGTTAACATAAGGATATCTGTTTTGTTAGCGATCTACCCTTGTCTGTTTCCACTGACTTTAAATACTGGTCATCATTGCTGTTTCCTAATTAACAGAGAGGCATTCATGGATGTGTTATAGTCTCAGCCACTCTCTAATCTGAGAGAACCTGAGTGGGTTTGCATTAATAATTTTGAATCATTACAATTCTTTCTAATAAACAATATGACTTTTTAAAAAAGATTTTATTTATTTATTTGACAGAGAGAAAGATCAAGCATAGTGGGGGGAGAGGTAGAGGGAGAGGGAGAAGCAGACTCTCCACTGATCAGGGAGCCCGATGCAGGGCTGATCCAAGGACTCTGGGATCACAACCCGAGCCCAAGGCAGACACTTAACCGACTGAGCCACTCAGGCTCCCTGATTTTTTTTTTTTTTTTTTTTAAGTAATCTCTACATACAACGTGGGGCTTGAATTTACAAACCGGAGATCAAGAGTTGCATGCTCTACCAACTAAGCCAGCCAGGTGCCCGCACAACAGTGACTTTTTTAAGGCACAATGGGGAGAGTTTTCGCTGGGGGTAGATCTTCTCAAAAGAGAACAAAGAATAGGAGACACAGTGGAGCCAAACACCCACAGTCACTGCTAAATTGGGCATGTAGTCCTAGTTTGCCTCTTTTGCATTATAGGACTAGGCAACTCTCTATAATTCCTGCTTGTTTTTTCCCCAGTATTTTTCAACTTAAAATTATAAACCTGTGCCAGAACTTATGTGAAGAGATAAGAGTAAGATTAGCTTTGAACAAACTAATTCCTATGTTAAAACCCTTCATGGCTATTATTATAAATTAATTTTAGAGTTTTGTGATAGGTTTTTTCATATGACTCAAAACCAAAAATATATAAAACAATGCACAGTACAGTGGAAAATCTTACTTTTATCTGTCCCCTTTCCCCTTTTCTGTCCTCTGCAGATAACCTCTTTATTATTCTCTCAAATAGTCTTGCAGAGTTTCATTATGGAGTAACAAGCAAATAAGAATATAGAAGTTTTCTCCCATCCTTCCACAAAAAGCATATTTGTCACACTGTTCTGTAGCTTACATTTTTCACTTAACAGCATATTTTGGATGCCTTCCAAATCAGTGCTTTGGGAGCTTCTTCATCCTTCTACCTGTAGAATGGTCCCGTACTGTAGATGCACCAGAACCTGTTTCCCCTTCCCCTATTGTAGATTCTCGGATGGTTTCTTCTCTCTCTCTCTCTCTTTTTTTAAAAAATTTTATTTATTATTTGAGAGAGAGAGAGTGTGATCAGGGGGAGGAGCAGAGGGAGAGGGACAAGCAGACTCCACGCTGAGCGTGGAGCCCCATGCCGGGCCTGATCCCACCACTGTAAGATCACAACCTGAGCTGAAACCAAGAGCTGGATGCCCAACTGACTGAACCACCCAGGCACCCCTCTTCTCTTTTGTAGAATAGACTTGTTCATATGCTGCTTAGTTTCTGTAAGTTCTATGGGATAAATTCCCAGAAGTGAGATTGTTGGATCAAAGGGTAAGCCTGTTTGTAATTTTGATAGGTATGGCCAGATTGCCCTCTGTAGGAGTTTCCTATTCACCCTCTCACAAACCATATAGATAACAATTTTAATTCTTAGGAAATTGTTCCATTTCTACGTTTTTACATTTTCAAAATATTCTCCAAATGTGGGTAGGAAATGTGAAGTTAATTGAGGTTTTGTGATTTTCAGTGAGAATGTCAAGAAAAGCAGAGTTCTCATCCTTTTTTTAGTTTTAAGTAAGTTCTAGGCCCAAGGTGGGTCTCAAACTCATGATCTTGAGATCAAGAGTCAAGTGTTCTACCAACTGAACCAGCCAGGCACCCCAGTTCTCATCCTTTTGAGACCTTTTATTTTTTAGATTAGGAAATAGAGCACAAGCCCAAAACTTTGAAACCTTGAGTTTTAATCCTGGCTCTGCTGCCAACTACATGTGTCCTTCACAGCTTTTGGTCTGGCCTCTCCACTAACAAGGAGATGGTAATTCATTTCCTCTTTACTTTATAAGATGTTAAGATAAAAATGAGAATATGTAACTTTGAAAAAAAAAAACAAAAACAAGAAAGCCTTATGAAATATAAGATTCCTGTCACATCTTTTGCTTTGGGAATTAGGTGTTGAATTAAAATGCTTAAAGGTTCATGAATAACAGATGAGACCCAGGGAATCCTCAGTTGGGAATTTAGCACACAGAAACAAGGCGGATTGGTGAGTCCTGAGGCAGGTTAGGGAGCTCGCGGGACAGGGTGGGAGATTGCTCAGGTGAGGTAGATGGCATTTCAGTGAGACTTGCTGATGCTAAAGATAATAGTTCTCAAAGGATTTAGTTTAAACGTTTATTCTTTTATCTTATAGTTGATGAGAAAAGAAAGTCCAAAACTACACACATGGTGCTCCTCGAGATCATTAAGGAAGAAGGCCTGTGAGTACCACCTTGCCCATTTTGTTAGACAAAGCACCCCGTTAGGAGATTGCTGGGCCTCTAGCACACCTGCACTCACTTTCTTTCCATTCTCATAGACTTATAGTAGTTGTGAATCTGTAATTGCCTGACTTGCAAGTACGTAATTGTTTTCATCTCTTAAAGTTTTGTAGTTGGCCATTTTGATTCTTGATCATAGAGTCTTCCATGAAACCAATGCTTTGTTTTATGTTTTATGGTTTTTTTACAGTGAGCTGAAGAAGCTGTTGTTTAGTTCATTCCTATCAGATGCATTCAGATTATGTATTTTTTTTTTTACTTTTTATTTGGAAATAATTTCAAGTTCACAAAAAGTTGCAAAACTGAAAGTCGTACAAAGAATATCAGTATATGCTTTACCCAGATCCACCTATTATTAACACTTTTTTCCCATTTATTTTCCCAGTTGTGCTTATGTTCTCTCCCCGCTTTCTCTCTCCTTCCCCCTTCTGTCTTTATTACACACACACCACGCAGACTTTTTTCAGAATTATTTAAGAATAAGTTACACACTATACATCAAAGCCTTTTACCCCTATGATGTTGACATTTTTAAAGAATATAGCTCCCCTCCCCCCCCTTTTTTAAATAAAATGTTTCTCATTTTAAGTTTGCCTCATGTTTCTTTATGATTAGACTGAGGCTATGCATTCTTGACCAGAATAATGCATAGGTGATATTGTGTCCTAAGGATATCACATCTGGAGTCACATATTGTCCACCTGCCCTTCATTGGTTAATTATGATTTCTCAGATTCAGGTTAGCCACTGAATAATTTAATTTTTCTTCTCTTGCAACTATCAGCAGTCTATGAAGAGAAACTTTATTTAGTAGCAGTATAGACTCAAAAATTCCTGGTTTTTCAGTGGTTTACAATTGATTACTATACTATATTATTTTGGTGTTGAAACTGTCCCAGGTGGGAGCCCCTTCAGCCTGATTCCTGTGCCCTAATAACATGCTGCCATCACTTCTTTTTTTTTTTTTACACTTATTATGTCTATATTTACTTCATTTTCAAGTGTTGTTACCCTATAATAAAATGTGAATGATGCTATATTAACTAAGAGCCATGAAGAAATTGTCTCTAATTTTACATAGTAATTTGCAGAAGGAAACCAAGGGGAGGAAACTAGTAAAACCAGTCATTGAAAGTGTGTTGTTTCTATGGCATCATTAATGGGAGGAAAGATTTCTTGGTTTGGACAGCCTTTAGAATGTGAGATATATGTACAGTTTGGAGTATGTCGTAGTGTAGGAGTGAACTTTGAGAATATGTGAATGATGATCAGCCTTTCCTAGGACTTTGCGCATTTCCACTAGCTTTTGTCCAGCATCTTTACATTGCTTATTGTGTTTTTCCTCTAGCCTGGCACCATATCGAGGGTGGTTTCCAGTTATCTCCAGTCTCTGCTGCTCCAATTTTGTCTATTTCTACACTTTTAATAGTCTCAAAGCAGTCTGGGTCAAAGGTCAACGCTCTACTACTGGAAAAGATCTAGTAGTTGGATTTGTTGCAGGTAACAAAGTTTTCCGAGTATAAAATTTTTTATATTTTAATATTTATCTTATGGTTCATATATTCCCTAAGAGGTTGTTTTAGCACAAAGTAATGCTACAAAGAATATAATTAATTTTCTGACTTGGCTCTGTGTGTGTATGTGTGTGTTTGGTAAAAACATATAACATAATTTACCATTTTAACAATTTTTAAGTGTATGCTTTAATAGTAAGTTTATTTACATTATTGTGAAACAGATCTCCAGAACATTTTCATCTTATAAATGTGAAACTCTATAACCATTAGACAGCAACCCCCCCCTTACCCCCTTCTCCGGCCCCATTCTTTATGTTTCTATAAATCTGACTACTTTAGATGCCTTATATAACTGGAATCATACAGCATTTGTCTTTTTGTGACTGGCTCATTTCATTCAGCATAATGTTCTCAAGGTTCATTCATGTTCTACGATGTAACAGGGTTTCTATTTTTTTTAAGGCTAAATAATATTTACTTGTGTGTATATACCACATTTTGTTTATCCATTCATTTATTGATGGACATTCAGGTTGTTCTAACTCTTGGATACTGTGAATAGTAGCTCTTATAAACATGGGTTGTGCAAATATATCTCTTCAAGTCCCTGCTTTCAGTTCTTTTGGGTATATACCCAGAAGTGAGATTGCAGGATCATATGTTAGGGGGTTGTGTGTGTGTGTGTGTGTGTGTGTGTGTGTGTTTTGTTTTTTGTCTGTTTTTTTATTTCATGAGGAACCACCATACTGTTTTCCACAGCAGTTATGCCATTTTATAATCCCACCAGCAGGGGTTTTAAATTCTCCACATCCTTACCCGCTCTTGTTACTTTCTGGGTGTTTTTTGTTTGTTTTTTGAAAAGGAATTCTGTTTATTAACATATAATGTATTATTTGTTTCAGAGGTACAGGTCTGTGATTCATCAGTCTTACACAAGTCACAGTGCTCACCATAGCACGTGCCCTCCCCAGTGTCCATCGCCCAGCCACCTCATCCCTCCCACCCCCCTCCACTCCAGCAACCCTCAGTTTGTTTCCTGAGATTAAGAGTCTCTTATCGTTTGTTTCCCTCTCTGGTTTCATCTTGTTTCATTTTTCCCTCTCTTCCCCTATGATCCTCTGCCTTGTTTCTCAAATTCTGCGTATCAGTGAGATCATATGATAATTGTCTTTCTCTGATTGACTTATTTCATTTAGCATAATACCCTGTAGTCCCATCCACGTTGTTGCAATGGCAAGATTTCATTTTTTGATGGCTGCATAATATTCCATTGTGTGTATATACTACATCTTCTTTATCCATTCATCTGTTGACAGACATCTAGGCTCTTTCCAAAGTTTGGCTGTTGTGGACATTGCTGCTATAAACATTGGGGTGCACATGCCCCTTGGGAACACTACATTTGTATCTTTGGGGTAAATACCCAGTAGTGCAATTGCTGAGTCGTAGGGTAGCTCTATTTTCAACTTTTTGAGGAACAGCCATACTGTTTTCCAGAGTGGCTGTGCCAGCTTGCATTGTAGGAGGGTTCCTTTCTGAGTGTTTTTGCTTTGATAATAGCCATCCCAATCATAGTGTGAGGTGATATTTCACTGTGGTTTGATTTGCATTCCTCTGATGAGTAGTGATGTTGAGCATCTTTTCATATGCTTTATTGGCCATTTGTATATCATCTTTGGAGAAACGTCTGTTCAAGTCCTTTTCCCATTTTTTAATAGAGTTATTTGATATTTTATTGTTGAGCTATGGGTATTTTTTATATATTCTGGATATTATTAGCCCCTTATGAGATATATGATTTGCAAGTATGTTCTCCCATTCTCTGTTGTCTTTTACTGTGTTGATTATGTTCTTTGGTGCTCAAAAATTTTAAGTTTGATGTTTGTCCCATTTGTCTGTTTTTGCTTTTCTGCCTGTGCTTTTGGTGTCACGTCCAAGAAGTCATTGCTATGTCTAATGTCATGAAAACATTTTCTGCTTTGTTTTCTTCTAGGAGTTTTATACTTTTAGGTCTTACATTTGGGTCTTTAATCCATTTAGAATAATTTTTTTAATCTTTAATTTAGAATAAATTTTTGTATGTGGTGTAAGATACAGTTCCAACTTCATTCTTTTTTGTGTGTGGATATCCAGTTTTCCTAATACCATTTGATGAGATTGTTCTTTCCCCCTTGAGTAGTCCTGATACCCTTGTGGAAGATCATTGACCATATACACAAAAAGGTTTATTTCTGAGCTGACTTGGCTTATTTTGTCTTTTTAATCCAGAGAAGATAGTTTTATCCCTGTTTAGCAGTGTTCCAGAATTTATGGAAATTAAAGCCTCTCTCTTTTTTAAAAAAAAGATTTTATTTATTTATTTACAGAGAGAGAGAGCATGCAATCAGGGGGTGGGGAGGGGCAGAGGGAGAGAGAGAATCCCAAGCCGACTCCATGCTGAGCAGGGAGCCTGACACAGGGCTTGATCTCACGACCCTGAGATCATGACCTGAGTCAAAATCAAGAGTCAGACACTTAACCAACCGAGCCACCCAGGTGCCCCAAGTCTTTTTAAAAGGAAAAAGATTACAATACCTTCCCTGCTTGCTTTCCGTGATTTTTATTTTACTGTTTTTTTAAAGATTTTATTTATTCATTCATGAGAGACAGAGGGGGAGAGAGAGAGAGAGAGAGAGAGAAGCAGAGAGAGAAGCAGGCTCCCAAGGAGCAGGGAGCCCGATGCGGGACTCGATCCCAGGACCCCGGGATCATGACCTGAGCCGAAGGCAGACGCTTAACCACCGAACCAACCAGGCGCCCTACTGTTTTTTTTAATTAAGTAAACTCTACCCCCAACGTGGGACTCAAACTCATGACCCCAAGATCAAGAGTCACATGCTCTACCGACTGAACCAGTCAGATGCCCCCCATGATTTATTTTTTGACTGAGGTCTACACGAGATGTTTAACATGAACAGGAGTGACTACATAATTTGCAAGGTCTAGTACAAAATGAAAATGCAGGACTCCTTGTTCACGATTTATTAGCATTTCAAGACAGTTGAAAATGAGATTAAACCAGACACAAGTTGGGTTGCACACCCATGAAGCCCACCATGAGTGTGAAAACATTTAGTCAAATATGACAAAGATATTTTAGCACACAACCCAGTGTAGTTAGTATCATAATGGTTGTTAATGTGTTAGAGGTTCATAGGAAGAAGAGAGATCACTTTTAGCTGGGAGGGATCTGCTTATAGAAAGCGGTGGCTCTTGAACTGGGCAGGATTAGTAACTTTTGTAGATGAGTGGTGACAGTTTTCTGATGGAGAGAATGGTAGGGAATTGAGGAGATACAGGACCATGTTTAGAACAGTGAGCTCTCTAATTTAGTTAGTGAGTGAAGTGAGTACAGGAACATGAGCAATAAGGTTGGAGAAGTAAGCAGGAGCCAGATTTTAGAAGATTTTTGGATCCTTGTCATCTGAGATTTTAAAAGCTCTAGGGAGGGGCGCCTGAGTGGCTCAGATCATTAAGTGTCTGCCTTGGACTCAGGTCATGATCTCGGGGTCCTGGGATCGAGCCCTGCATCGGGCTCCCTGCTCGGCGGGGAGCCTGCTTCTCCCTCTCCCTCTACTGTGCCCCCTGCTTGTGTTCTCTCATTCTGTCAAATAAATAAATAAAAACTTTTAAAAAAATAAATAAATAAAAAGCTCTAGGGAGCCATTAACCTGATATGAATATTTAGTTACTGTCTGTGTCTCCTTAGTGGAATGTGAGCTCCATAAGAGCAAGTATCTTAAATATATGTATGTTTAATATATATATTTATATGTATATTTAAGATAACAATATATAGATATATAGATAATATAGTATATAGATAGAAAATATATATGGGTATTTTATATATATGGCTGTATATATATATATATATATATACACACACACACACATACACAAAGATACAGAACAGGTGTATATATATATGTTACAATTAAATATATTTTTATATGTAATGTATCTTATATATAATTATGTAAGATTACATATATACATATGTGTGTTATATATATGTATATATATATATATATCATACCTCTTCTTAGGGAGTATATATACATGTTTCCTCCTCCTACTATGACTATATTCCCAGTAAGAACAATTCCTAGCATGTCCTCAATAAATATTTGCTGGATGAACAAAATATTTGTTCAATTAGTCAGACTTTTACTAAAGAGATGGAAGGAAAGTAGATATATTTCCTATGTCTTTTTGTATATTTATCCATTTTAGTCTGTAACTAAATTAATTAATTTATTTATTTTTAAAGATTTTATCTATCTATTTGACAGAGAGAGCCAGAGCCAGAGAGCACAAGCTGGGGGAATGGCAGGGGTAGAGGAAGAAGCTAAGCAGGGAGCCCAACTCGGAGCGTGATCCCAGGCCCCCAGGATCATGACCTGAGCCAAAGGCAGATGCTTAACTGACTGAGCCACACAGGCACCCCCAAATTAATTGATTTAACTGTTGTACTTTTAGTGTTCTATTTTGTGGAATCACTTTTTGGTATATTTGAAAAATTAGTACTTTGGGAGGCACACAATTGAATAATGTAAATGTCCATTTGAAATTTAAATGATTTAATTGAAAAATAGTTACCAGTCCAAGAGCATTCTTGCCCCACAAGTTTTCCTCTTTACCAGTATGAGGCCACTGATGTGTTTTGGCTTGGTCTCTGAGCTTTTCTTCTGCTTAATACTCTCATTTTGGTAGTAGGTTGATTTAGATCTAATTAACTTTCACCTGTACCAACCTTTTTATTTTTTTTTTTAAAGATTTTTATTTATTTATTTGACAGAGACACAGCAAAAGAGAGAACACAAGCAGGGGGAGTGGAGAGGGAGAAGCAGGCTTCCCACAGAGCAGGGAGCCTGATTCGGGGCTCGATCCCGGGACCCTTGGATCATGACTTGAGCTGAAGGCAGACGCTTAACGACTGAG